GGAAAATCTTGACTTTTTGCTAGCAGTTGACAGAGAAGCCAACGGCAAGTGTACTAGAATGCCCCCGTCGAGACGAAAACACCCATGCTAATTGTTCCTGAGCTGTTCAAATGGAATAAATAATTCCGGTAATCTACAATTGATGTCGGCACCGCTTATTTAGCAAGCAGTGATCACATAGGGCCGCTTCCACCTGGTTATGTGCTTGTCAGCATCCTGGCTGTTGATTTTTCTCCCCGTGCCACGGGGTGTGTGAGAGCTTCTTTTTCTTTTTCTTTTTTTATACTTTTTAAATATTTTTAGTGTTTTTTTTAAATTGATATTTTTAAATATTTTTTTATGATTACAATATATTATTATTAGATATTAAAAAATAAATATATTTGAATATATTTTTAAATTAAAAAAATATTTTAAAAAAACTTATCGCTGTAACCTTAAACATACAAATTAAGAAACTTTTAAAATTTTAACATTCATATATCTTGATAGCTAAAAAAAATATTTGAGAGTATGGTAAAATTTATTTTTTAAAATATTTTTTATTTATAAATATATTAAAATAATATTTTTATTATTTTTTAAATTTTATTTTTATAACAGTATATCAAAATAATTAAAAAAACACTAAAAAAATTAATAAAAAATAGGTTCAATCTTAATACCAAGCATATACTAAAAACAATTATTGATTAATTATGAATCACGTGTTTAAATTATTTTTATCCTTTTTATCTTTAATGATATTCAAAGTAAGCTTTTATAGTGAATGCAATTAAAATTAATTTTAAGAAAAAATAAAATTTTGATAAAAAACAGTTCAATTTTAATACTGAGAAGACACTAAAAATAATTACGGATTAATTATGAATCACATGTTTAAATTATTTTTTATCTTTAATGATATTCAAAATAATTTATCTTGGTGAATGCAATTTACTTGTCTTGTGAGTTTTTTATATTAAAAATTAAAATTGACAATTTGCTCACTCCAAACCATGAAATAAAATGCATTGACTTAATTTATAGAAATCAATTAGTTTATTAGGCTAGATAAAAAATATATATATTAATGTAAAAAAAATATTAAGATGTTATTAATGTTTTCTTAAGTGGAACAAAATTTAAATCTTGTAGAGGTTGAACCTAATGTTAACTTTACAGGTATAAAAGCAATTCAAACAACTTATAAAATATAATTTGACTAAAAAAAATTTCAAGATAATATTTTTTTATGCTAAAACAATAATATAATTGACTAGCTTAGGCCAGCTCAGACTATGAGATTATGATAACCCTATAAAAAGTAAATCAAGACAAATTACAAAGCCTTATTCCCAATCAACATGATGTTGAAGGATTAGATTGAAAAAAAATAACTAAAAAAAACTTTAAAAACAACTTGAGTTAACTTGTCAAAGCTGCAACTTGGTCACGAGATAAAAATAATTTTATACAAAGTAAATCAAAATAAATTATGAAGTTTAATTCCCCATCAACTCAATGTTAAATGACAGGACTAAAAAAATTAATTAAAAAAACATAAAAATGACTTAGGTTAACCTACCAGACTTATGACTTGAATCATAAGAACGCGATAACATCATAAAAAAATAATATGATTTAACCTAGGTTAATTTGCTAAATTCGCGATCCTAGCAATGAGACTAAGATAACCCTGTAGAGAGTAAGTAAAACAAATTATAAATCTTAATTCTTAATCAACTATGTTGAATTCAATATTAAATGATGAAATTTATAAAAGTTTTTTTTTAAATATCACAAAAAATGAACCAGATCAACTAATTAACCATGATTTCCAAGCCATGAAACTAGAATAATCTTATAAAAAATAAACCAAATGAAATCACGAAGCGTAATTCTCAGTCAAATATGATATTAAATGATGAAAATAGAAAAATGAAAAATCAAGTCAATTAAATGAATCTATCAAAACCATGACTATGGTTTTGAAGCAAGGACAACCTAATAAAAAAAATATCAAATGTTGAAAGACCCGTAACTCGAATCATGAGACTGAAATAATCTTTTATAAAGAAAATAAAAAAACAACCAAGTTTAACCAAGATTAAAAATATTAAAACTCACAACCCTAGTAATGATGCCAATATATCTCTACATGAAGAAAATAAAAATAAATTATGAAATTCAATTCTTAATCGACTAGATATTAAATAATAAAATTAAAAAAAATGATACAAAACATAACCCGAGTCAACTTGTTAAGCACTATTCTCTGTTATTGAGGTCATAATAACTCAATAGAAAGCAAACAAAACTAATCAAGAAACCTAATTCTTAATCAACTTAATGTTAAAGGACAAAATTAGAAAAAAAAAGTTAATTCAAAAAACAAGTTAACCAAGTTATCCTGTAAAATTTAAGATTCGTGTAACGAGATTATGATAACTCAATAAAAAATAAATATCATATTAAATGATAAAATAAAAAAACATCAATCGAGAGAAAATAAGAAAAGAAAAACAAAGTATTATTATAATGAACATAACAAATGCTATGTGAGAGGGGGTATGGTAAAAACCCTCCTTATCTTTTTTTTTATTGTTGGTTAATATTAAATGATAAAATAAAAACAAACATTAATTGATATAAAATAAAATAAAAATCTATGAATTATTTTAATAAACAATGCTTTACGATGAGAGATATAATAAAACCCTCTTATCCTTTAGTTTTTTATTGGTTAATATTAAATGATGATTTTTTAAAAAAAAAACATTGATTAAATTTTTTTTTATAAATAGTAATTTGTGACGAGAGGTACACTAAAAATCCCTTCTTCTTTAGCTTTTTGTTGGTTAATGTTGATTTTAGTTGATGATTGTTTATTAATTTATACCAATAAAATCATGCAAGAAAGAGGTCTATGAATGAAAAGAAATCAAGATGTGGCGCTAAAAATTGGATTTTTTAAAATAAAAGTTGGTATATTAAATTAAAAGTTTGGGCAAAGTAACATATTTTAAAAAAGATTAAGTGAAATAACATACCTTTATCTTGCTATGCTTTTAAAATGCAATATTTACTAAATATCGTTATTCTTAAATATGATAAGATAATTATCGTGCTTTAGAATAAGGATATTTAAACATGTTGCATTTTTGAAGCGTGATAACTGCTAGTTGCCCTCCTCTTAGATACAATTGTAGAACCAGTCGACCATTTCATACAAAACAATAGTTTTATCAATTTTTTCTTTTAAATATGTTTTACAAGTAAAAATACACATAATTGTCCAACTTGTAAATTAAAAAACAAACTTTAGTTAAAATCTTAAAAAATTATTGTTTACATAGTGATTTTTATAAATGATTTCAAGTAGTCAAGTGTGATTTTGACATGATTATACGAGGATCTGCTATGGAAAGATTACATGGATGACTTGATACGTGCATTTATGAACCAACGAGATGAATTTAGGTTTAGAAAAAGATATGGTCACACCAGACTTAAATAATAGCTTAAAAAAAATCATAATTTTTGAATTAATTATTAGATCGTATTCAAATTTTTACATGAGTTTTTGAAAACTGTTTTTCTTGATATAGCCATGAAATTATTGTTCCAACTGTTGGATATTTAGATTTCAAAATTTTTATTCCGGGTTCTAATTTTAACAGTCTTGTAATTATCCTCACGACCAATTAACTAATTAGTTATAAATTTAAATAGGTATTATAATTAATTAAAATTTTACTATGTACAAACCAGCTAACTTGTTACCTCTAAATTTAAATAAATATTAATATTAATTAAAATTTTATTATGGTTTTCAACTAAGATATTCAAAAGTATGCTATTTTTTTTTTTAATTTCTGTATCATTTCACATGCTAATTGCCAAATTTATTCCACATACAATGACACCATGTCATGATCAAAAGGTTCCTGTCCTCTCCAAATTTAATATATTATGGACCCACGTGAATAAGCTCGCTGCCCGAAACAGGCCATTTCCCTCAAATACGAATACTAATAACGTGCGATAAGGTGGTATATATTATTATTTTTAAAATAATTAAATATATATATATAAATATTTATTTTTAGATTTTTTATGTTAATATATTAACATTATTAAAAAATATTAATTTAATATTTTTTTATACAAAATATTTTTTTTAAAATATACCAAAGACAGCTTAAAATGCAATAACAAACAATCACTCAATTAATACTCTTACTGCATTTTGTGTGCCATAATTTAAGAAGTGGTTGAGCTAATAATAATTATTTTTTAAAATATTTTTATTTTATTTATTTTAATTTTATTTTTAATACTATCATATTAAAATAATAAAAACATAAAAATACTCATTTATTATTGGATTATTTTTGTGCAGATGTTAAAATAAAATTTTAAAATTAACAAGAATATTACTTCAATATATTTCTAAATAAAAAATTTATTTTTTTAAAATATTTATCATTCTTAAAAAAATACCCCTTTAACTCCAACAATAAATTCTCATACAGGATAATTTTTTAAAATATCTATCATTCTTAAAAAAATACCCTTTTAACTCCAACAATAAATTCTCATACAGGGCATTATAATTAATTGTTTGAGTTAATTATAATGCCCTGAATTAATTATAATTAATTAAGAAAGAAGGAGAAAAAGAAGAAGGAGAAGGAGGGGGATTGTATTCTGAAAAAGGACAACTACAATCATGGAAAGACTAATTAATAATGAACTAATAAGAAAAGGACACATCATTCAATAAATAACCATCGCTTAGATTTTAAATCTTCCTAAAATCACTAAAAATAGTTTTTAAATGGTCCACTTCAATAATTTCTGTAGCTATTTAAACGCATTCGAGATTCCAGAAAAGCACAGGATAAATAAAAGGAAAGTTCAAACTTGAAGAATTAAGATTGATATAGTTTGAATATATAAGGACTAAAATATAGCTCCCGTCATGTTTCTGTAACCAAGGCGTCCGCTCTCCGTCACTTCCGTCACGTTTTTTCTTCTCTTCCCCTTCAGATCTTTTCTCTCATGCTCTCACAGTAAACTAACCAAGGATAAATCGGTCTTTTGGTTATCCTGTTCTGAAATAATAGATAATCAACATCATAATAATAATACATAGTAATTAGTGTTGGATCCGAGAAATAGAGAAGAAGATTTTTAAAAAAATCAATTTCCTTATCCATGCAAATTCTCTGATAGATTTTTTGTGGAGAGATTATTAGGGCGTGTTTGGTTGTTTTTAGAATCAAAGAGAAAAATGGGGTTTTTAAGTACAATACTAGGTTTCTGTGGATTCGGTGTTGGAATTTCCACGGGTCTCACCATCGGGTACTACCTCTTCATCTACTTCCAACCCTCCGATGTTAAGGTAATACATAATTTTATCATCCCTTAACCTTTTTTCATTTTTTGAGGTTTTTTAAATTAAGATGCTTAATTTAAGTTTTTTTCTTCTTAGATATGTTTTTGCTAATGTTTAGTTTTATTGTTGGATTTTTATTTTTTTAGGATCATGAGGTACGGCCATTGGTAGAGCATGACTCGGAAACTTTGCAACGAATGCTTCCAGAAATACCGCTATGGGTGAAAAATCCGGACCATGATCGCGTAAGCGATTAGCGTTCCTGGCTTAAATTAAATGCACTTCGTGTTTTAATGATGTTGCTTATGTTGTTTTTGTGTTTGTAGATTGATTGGCTGAACAGGTTTATTCAATTAATGTGGCCTTACCTTGATAAGGTTTGGTTTGATTTCTATGGCTGATTCTTCTTTTCTTGATAGTTGTTTCTTGATTCTACTGAATTGTTTAGTTCTGTTTTTGACTTTTTTGTTCAGGCCATTTGTAAGACGGCGGAGAATATTGCAAAACCAATAATTGCCGAGCAGATCCCAAAATACAAAATTGATGCGGTTGAGTTTGAAACTCTTACACTAGGCACCTTACCGCCAACCTTTCATGGTGAGCAGGGAGGGAGCTATTTGTTTGGTTTGTTAAGAGAAATTTTGAAGATGCATCCGTGTGTTTTCGCACTTCTCATTATAATAAAAGTTATGTTATGACGCTGTTTGTGATGAATCTTGAAAATCATGTGAAGGGAAAATAAAATGTGTTTTGAAAACTGACTTTACATTAGCGAGAGGGGTTCCTCTCTTTTAGATGTAGGCATTTTGACAGTAATGTCCAATCCTGTATAATTGTTATCTAAGGTTGTATCGACTCTGTATTTTTTTCCTATTGAACTTTTATATTATGATCTTGTTAACTATTTTTCTCACCAGGAATGAAAGTTTATGTCACTGATGAGAAGGAGTTGATAATGGAACCATGCATAAAATGGGCTGGAAATCCTAATGTCACTGTTGCTGTTAAAGCGTTTGGGTTGAAAGCAACTGCTCAGGTAATTGGATTCTCCTGTTTTAGAAGGAAATTGTTTTGAAGTTGACTTAGATTTAAGGAATTCTGTTTTATCGTTCTTTCAATAATGGCAGGTGGTTGATTTGCAAGTGTTTGCTTCACCACGCATAACTTTGAAGCCTTTGGTCCCTAGCTTTCCTTGTTTTGCCAACATCTGTGTGTCCCTCATGGAGAAGGTTGGTGTTTATTTTTCCCTTGTTGCTCAAACTCATGGATAATTGGATATTTAAACTGCCCGTGTTAGATGGTGGCTTATAATTTTTATTGATTCTTAACTTGCTCTTTTTGAGTTTCCCCAATAACATAGGACCTCTGGTACTTACCAGGTCCTGATTTATCCTTGTTTATTAGAATCCAAAAGCTCAGCACCTTACTTTTGTAGAATACTCAACTCTCTGAATTCACACGCTTGAACTCCCATTCCACACCAATTCTTTGGGCTTTACAGCCCTTTTAAGGTGCTTTTACATTTCTGCCTGATTAGGGGCACTAACTCATTAATGCAAATACAGTTTTGAGGGATGATTTGCTTTAATCTTAAGGCTCATTTTGAATCTATAATCAAAATTCCTGTACTGATACTGGTGTTGGCATATGGTTTACTGAAATTTGAGGGATGATTTTTATATGAAACTTCTTGCTTGATCCATTGTGATCCATTTTCACCACTCTGAGAGTACATACAAGCCTGGTTCTTATATTATTATTTTCTTGTATTTAATTATTCTGCAGCCACATGTTGACTTTGGGCTCAAGCTCCTGGGGGCTGATTTAATGTCGATACCTGGCCTCTATAGGGTCGTCCAGGTGCAGTATTTGACATTCTATTTTTACATCTCCTTTTCACAGTGAACTGGTTGAGAATGGTATCAAGCATTGCTAACTTAGAGAATCATTTTAGGACTGTGTCGGCCACTGGTTACTTGGGTTTTGCATGTGTCTATTTTCTTCAAGTAGAGAATCCTAGATTACCAGCACTCATGTTGAACATGCTTGAGTATTGTGTATTTCGTTCATCTATTGCCTTATGGGAATGCATTGATCTAGTTCAACATTTTTCCTCACCTCAACTATGATGGTCTTTTGTGGCTGCTTCATTGCTGTTTATTTTTTGCATGTATTTAATGTGAACTTGTTCTGCTTGTTAGACGGAAAATGGAAACTCTTCCACAAGTTGGCTTTTGTGAAAAACATTGTAGCAAAAAGCAAAGTCAAAATATTTGAAAGCTTTGGTCGCTGAAATGTTAAAAGCAATTAGTTGTCAGTTTTCGTATCATCTGTTCAAATTTTTATGGTTCGTGATGTTAGTAGTGATAAAATGGTGTTTTGCTGCAGGAGATTATTAAAGATCAGGTTGCCAATATGTATCTATGGCCTAAAACCCTGGAAGTCCCCATCTTAGATCCTGCAAAGTGAGTTTTTGCAATAATTTGAAAACTTTTGTAAGCTATGATGACATAAAATTTGTCAAGAGTCTTGATAATTTTTTATGCTAGGCTGCCCTCGTATTTGACCTATCACATTAAATGAAAAATGCAGAGCCATGAAGAGGCCTGTAGGAATTCTCAGTGTAAAGGTTCTGAGAGCAATGAAGCTGAAGAAGAAAGATCTGATGGGAGCATCAGACCCCTATGTGAAAGTCAAGATGACCGAAGATAAGCTTCCAGCCAAAAAGACCACTGTGAAGCACAAGAACTTGAACCCTGAATGGAATGAGGAATTCAATATAGTTGTTAAAGATCCAGAATCTCAGGCTCTAGAATTACGTGTTTATGATTGGGAGCAGGTATGGGATTTTCATTCATCTATAAGAAGTTGCACTTTCTGTATTCTATTCTGCATCTCAAACTGTTTATTCTCTTTGCTTAGGTTGGCAAACATGACAAGATGGGTATGAATGTAGTGCCGCTGAAAGAACTTACCCCAGAGGAACCAAAAAATATGACGCTTGAGCTCCTGAAAAACATGGACTTGAATGATCCTCAAAATGAAAAGTCACGTGGGCAACTTGTGGTTGAATTGACATATCAACCATTCAAAGAGGATGATGTAAACCTAAGTTTTAAAGAGCAGGTGGAACAGAAGGCTCCTGAAGGAACCCCTGCTGGTGGAGGGCTGCTTATTGTTATAGTTCACGAAGCTCAGGATGTTGAAGGAAAGCACCACACTAATCCATATGTGCGACTTCTTTTTAGAGGGGAGGAGAAAAGGACTAAGGTATCTCTTTTTGTGGGTGAAGATTTATATGTATAAATAATTGTCGTGGCCTTTTTTGTTTTCATTTTTATTTCCACATGATATATTTCAAGAGAACTTCTGAAATTACAGGATAACCATGTTGAAATTAATTGTCTAGAACTTTGCTGTGAGTTTTATATTTTAAGTGGTGATGGTTGGTCACATGAAACAAATAGTTGCGTCTAAATGGAAACCATTGTTTCCTTTGAGCAATGTTCATTGCTTCATGCAAGTTATTATAGGACCAAAATCTTACAGGTCATGGTTAATAGCTTTATCTTTTATTCCTACAGCACGTGAAGAAGAATAGAGATCCAAGATGGGAGGATGAATTCCATTATACGCTGGACAAGCCTCCTAGTAATGAGAAGCTACACGTGGAAGTCATCAGCACCTCGTCTGGGATTGGCCTGCTGCATCCAAAGGTACACAATACACTTTCTCTTTTAACTTTGTATAACAATAATGAATTATAGAAGTGGATGCTACTGAAGTGATCATTGTCATTTTGTTGGCGAAGATGGTTTTCTTGTGTAGCACCATTTCTACACAAAAAGTACTTGTAGAATTAAGGGTGTTTTATATGGCTCGATGTCATGACTCGAATTCTAGGCTCATTCCCGGTGACATAGGAGCAATATCTCAAAGGTATCCCAGCTACGCTAAGCCCTAGAACATACATTTCATAAAACAAATATATAAAACTTCAAAATTTCTCATTATCATATAAAAATAAAACAAAAGTTCATAATATTTATTACATTAAATAAAATCAAATATTTGAAATAAAAATCCAAACTTGAATAAAAACAACATAATAGTGGAGCTTCTAAGATATTGAATAAAAAAGAAGAAGAAGAAAAGCCTCGCAAAAGCAAGCAAGGCATACGAAATCTAAGAAGAAGAAGAAAAAAAGCCTCGCAAAAGCAAGCAAGGCATACCAATAAATAAGGTAGTAGGAAATCTCAATCAAAGTTGAACATAAGCTAAGAACATGAAAATAATATTAGAATGGAGGCGAGTTCAACAAACGCAGTGAGAGAATAATGTTTAATATACATTATAAATATTTGTAAGTTATAGGCTATAAATTGTGATATAATAGAAGTATAAGAACTAAAACACACACACACATAATAAGCATAATAGTAATATGGTAGTGGTATACATGTGAGATATTAGATCATGCCATAGGCTTAGATAATAAACAAAATCCTAAAGTTATGATAAAAGACGAGGTCTGTGGCCTCAGTAATTGTAAACGAATCAGTCGTCATAGGTTGATGTCTCTCTTATCAGCTATATATATATAGACTACTACGTGCATATAGACTAACTACTTTCTGTTAGTTATGGAGTTTCTGACAAGTATCTTGATATTCAAACATAACATATATTCGCATTTATATGCATATTAAAGCAAACAAATAACATACTAACTATAATTAAATCAACATAATGCAAATACAATTTCAAGAAACTGATGAGCACTCGAAAAATAAATCAACATATAGATATTCAAGAATATCATCTGTATTAATCATATAATCAATAGACATAAATTATTAATATTACATGCATGTTAAAATTATTCCATTCACCGGGAAAATGGAGGCAAAAGACATACAAACATAGAAATGGAAACTATTGAGGATCATTAGAAGAAAACATCAATATAACCTATAACGAATACAAAAAGTACTCAAAAACAACTCGAAGCAGAGAACATAAAATATTACAATTCTTATATTAGAGACCAAACATAAATATAAAACCGAAACAAATCCACCCTATCAATCCTGAATATTTTTCAAATTGACCAAATCTGAAAGAACCGATTAACCCCCACTGCTTGGTCAACCACTCGACAAAAACTGACCAATCAGTCGACTGAAAGTATCATGCCAACCGGTTGACTGGGATTTTAGAATCATGATTTGTTAGTCTTTCAAAACTGCTGATCCTTAAAATTCAACTAGTTCCTCAAAAACCCATAATTCCAATCTTCATATTAGTTTGTTTTTCAGCCAAGCTAACATCCTAAAACATCTTAAATCATCTAATTATCAAATCAACATATTTAAACATCATAAATCCCTGAAACATTTCTTTAATCCACAAACTATCAAAATCACCCTAGAACATGCTTCTTGTGAATTGATTAAGATTTGTCTTTAACCTATGTGTTATCATCTGTATAATGATTATTCACACATTCAAAAGCTACTGAAGATATGATGTTTAATCACTGTTCTAAAACAACAAAAAAAGAAGTCACAATACTTGTTTTTTCAAATCTTTTTTAAAACCCAAAAACTTAAGCTTTGATTGAGCTGAATTCTTTAGTATATTTGTGAGAAAAGTTAAGGCATTAAAGGAAAAAGAGAAGAAGTTGGCAAAATTCTCTTTAAATACACAGGTTGGGTTCTTGAATTTGGGTCACGCTTGAGTTTGGATCTGATGGGTCAAAACTCGGGTCTTACACTCATACCTGGGGAATATAAATCTAGTGAGTGCTTCTAACTTGTCTGGCTTGATGATTGCAACTTAATGCTTTGTGGAAGGTAACGGGTCTTCATGCATTCCCATTTTCTAGAAAGAGTAAAATATAAAGTAGTCCTAGTTTTTCAAAATGAAATACAGTCTCTTTAATTTCAAAAATAATTAATTAATCAATCGACCAGTGATGACCATGCTTTATTTAATTTATCTTTGTTCCAAATAATATCTTCTTTCTCATCAATCTTTCCATATCCTCTATTCCTTTTTTCTCTATCTCTAAACAGGAAAAAAATTGAAAAAGAGCATGAAATGGGTGAAAAGGATAAAGTTACAGATCCATGAAAAATGTAGGGGACTGATTAATTATTTTTGAAACTAGAGGGTCTATTTAAATCATTTGCAAAGATAAAGGGACTAATTTATAATTTACTCTTATAGAAAATACTCCCGGAAAGCAAAGAAAGTTATGGGCTGTATTTTGGGTCACAGATTTGTCTTTCTGAAGGCCGTGTCCTCAAAAGTTTTTCCTGAACCACTTCCTCTATTACACGGCTGAATAAAATCTAAAACTTCCTAGCTAAGAAGATGATCCATCCATAGATGAATTTGAGTTCAAAAATGAATCACGGAATGCAATTGTTGTGGTTACAAGTCAGTGATGGCTTGTAGATAAATTTTTAGCATACAAAGGAGGCTTTATTGAAATGAAGAATTTCATGTTGTTTCTTTGTTCTTTAATCAGGAATCACTTGGTTACGTGGATATCAATCTCACAGATGTTGTTAATAACAGAAGAACCAACGGAAAGTATCACCTTATAGACTCGAAGAATGGACAGATTCAAATAGAGTTGCAGTGGAGACCAGCTTCATAAGCCTGTTGATTGTACTCTCTCTCGCTCTCTCTCTCTCTCCCCCCCTCTCCCAAGCCTTGAGACTGCGTTAAATTTAGGATAGTGTGTGATAGGACGAATGTGTTGTTTCAACAAAATTCTCTACCTTGCTTCCCCCTTTTTTTTTTTTTTAAAAAAAGGTTTGTACGTGAATTCATTGCCAGTCATTGGCAGATTGGTGGTGTGTTTGAAAGCCCTGAATTATGTTTCTAGAAGAAAATGAGAAGTGGAAAAATGATTTCAGGGTAGAAACACAAATAAGAGGAGTGTGTGTTCGATAATGTTGTGTTTTATTTAAAAATTTATTAAAAATTTTTTTTTCCTGATTTTTTAAATTTTTCTCAGAAGTATGTTAAAACTTTTAGAAGCAAATTAATTTTATATCAAATATATTTTTAAAATGTATTTAAACATAAGTTGAAATGAGCCTTAAAATAGGGAATCAGGAGAGAAGATCCGCTTAAAATGAATCTAATGACTGAAAATGAATGTTGGCATTCCAAGTGTTTATTTAGGGGTGATAGAGGTTGTGTTTTAAAATGTTTTTTATTTAGTAATATATTAAATATATATAATTTTTTAATATTTTAAAAAATTAAATTTTGAAATCAAAATATCAATTCTTTCAAAATATATATATATATATATATATATATATATATATATATTTTAAATAATGATGAAGCTCGAAATCGAAGGAGAGCGACGGAGGGGCACAATCATAGCACATATCGAGGTAATTTTTTATGATCATGTGATGAGTCCAAAACCAGCTAAAAAATAAAGCTCTCCTGTTACCCTTTAATCAAACTAATACACAATGTAATTACAAAGAAAATCTTATATCATATGTTATAATTGAAAATGAAATTTTCAAATGAAATTAATCATCAATGATAACTCATTGATAACTTGAAAAGAACATTGCATACAAAGTAAGGGGAGAAAAAACATGCTAGAAGAAAAAAAAAAAGTACCCTTGGAGATTATGTTAGGATGTAATGATCATAATTATTATTATCATGCTGGTCATTTACATTTTAATAATTAATAATTAAATCTAATAATTTATAAATCAAACATAGGCAAGTACGAGGGCCAATCAGCAACGTGGTCATTTATAAAATTTTAATAAATACCAAGTAAGATTAATTTAGATCCAGTACAATTAAGATCATCCGTTATAATCAGAAACCCAGTCCATTTCTAGGCTCCAAGTCAATGGGCTTAGAGACAGTAAATTATCACCGGTCAGGCCGGATTCGAAAATTCGAGAGTAGTTGAAAAAAAACCTCCCATCGAAAGAAACGGTCTTCACTTGCCAAGTCAAGCAAAAGCATGGACCCCTACCTGCCACGTAGCAATTTCAACGAGATCCCCGCTAATCCCTCTACACCGAATCAAAACTCGCCAGTTTATCCGAAATTCAAAGCTCCTATTTCATTCCAGTGGCCATTCCTGTCATCCTCAATATCCCCTTATTCTTCTTCTTCAAGTCAGTTAGAGAGAGAGATAGAGAGAGTTTCAATGGCGCTACCGGTCGTTGACACAGAGTACCTGAAAGAGATCGAAAAAGCACGTCGCGATCTCCGTGCCCTCATCGCTTACAAAAACTGCGCTCCTATCATGCTCCGCTTAGCGTAACCAACTAACTACCTATCTCATTGCTTACTCTCTCTCTTTGTTTGAATCTTTCTGTTTTGATTTCTTTTTTGCGGTGAAGGTGGCATGATGCAGGAACGTATGACAAGAACACGAAAACGGGAGGTGCTAATGGTTCGATAAGGAACGAAGAGGAGTGCTCTCATGGTTCTAATAATGGCTTGAAAATCGCTATCGATTTTTGCGGTTAGTTTTTTACTTGCTTTCCACTTAAATTTCACTTATATTTTTGTTGATTTTGATTTTTTGAATTTTTTCAGAGGAAGTGAAGGCGAAACATCCGAAGATTACTTATGCAGATTTGTATCAGGTGATCTATTTCACTCCAGTAGTGTTTGATTAATTAATACTGCAGATAATTAAATAAATGTTTAATTAATACTGTTTATTATTCTCCATCTATATGTCTATTTAATTTGTTGTTTCAGTGTTGATAGCTAACAATTATACTGATATTCAAAGCATAAACTGATTTTCTTGTCAAAAAGTAACAGTATGTAGAGATATAATTGAAAAACTTGAGTAAATGAAGTTGCGATTATCCGCGTGGGTGAATGGAGGAGGTGGGACATTCCTTGGTAAATCTAACCTTATGGTTTTTGGACGGAGATAGAAATTCTAAGGGCATTACCCCCACTGACAGGACTGAATCACAAGCGGAAGTTCTAAAAACGTGTCTTGTCTGACCTGTCTAGTCAATCTTCACAAGAAATGTGAGTGAATGGCGATGGAATGATGATTCCTAGTCATGTAAGTATAGCACAAGGTGGTTCCTGTTCTGTTTTCGTCCATCTTGGTATTGAGTGCTCACAAATATAGATACCTGACCTTGTTTTTCTCATTCATGATTAGGTTTCTAAATTTTACGGGAAGGATTTGGAGAGATATTCTTTTAGTATGTTACTGTAGCAATTCAGTTGGAATTTGTTGAAGCATGCTGGGAGTTGGGCAACATTAGATGCACTATCATGGTTGCTGTTCTGTTCCTTGGCATGATACGCAAAATATTTGCAAAATTATGAACAGACCAGCAAGCCATAACTCCATGATTGCTACATCAGTTAGTGCATTAAGCTTAACATGCGAGTAATTGATAAATAATGAGTGGTGGATTTTAATGTAAAATGTTTGAATATCCACGTACAATTGCTGAGTTTTAAAATATAAGAGCAACTGACTCATATTCAATTATTCCACTACTTGCATGTTCAGCTAGCAGGTGTTGTTGCAGTTGAGGTCACTGGAGGTCCGGCCATTGATTTTGTTCCTGGTAGAAGGGTATGTGATTGAGGCATTTCTTGAAGATGCAGGTGATTATCAATTTATAACATTGCTGACTATATGTTCATTTTTTTAGGATTCAAATACTTGTCCCAAGGAAGGGCGACTTCCAAATGCCAAACTAGGTATTTTCAGTATTTTAATTACTCTAGAAACTTCTTTAGTTTAATTCAGGGGTTGGAAGTTCTTAAATTGTGGTTTGCTTTCTTTTAATGTATGAACTGAGCTAAACCCGGTCTAAAGGGAAAGGTGGAATTATGTGTTTTGAGATTTATGTCTTTGTGATGCTGTAAATAAACTCATTTATTGTGTGTTTACAGCATCGATGAATCTAATAGTTGAGGGTATTGTGTTGTATGGGACTGACATGCAGCAGATTGAAATTATGTGTTTTGGGATTTGTGTCTTTGTGATGCTGTAAATAAAGTGTTGTATGGGACTGACATGCAGCAGATTGAAATTATGTGTTTTGGGATTTGCGTATCAAGGATCCATTGGAGAGAACTTTAATTCATGATGAAAGATTTTGTTATTTGGAATGTGTTGATGAGGAGGTAAGAGAACTCGAGACTTATCTAGATCCAATGCCTATTATGTCAATAGGTCAATGGACCCCATCATTTGAGCCTTTGATTTCACCCCAAGTGAAAGTTGAGGAATCTCTTGTCCAGCCTGATAAACTAGAAAGGAAGCCTTTACCGAGTGATCTTAAGTATGCATTTCTAGGGGAAGATGAATCATATCCTATTGTGATCTCATCAAAACTTAGCATAGAGCAAGAACACAAACTTTTGAGAGTGGTGAGAAAACACAAGAAAGCAATTGGGTGGAAAATTACTGACTTGAAAGGAATTAGCCCTCTTTTATGTACACATAGAATCTATCTTGAAGAAGAGGCTAAATCTGTGAGGCAAATGCAAAGACGATTGAACCCAAACATGAAGGAAGTAGTGAGAGGTGAAGTGCTTAAGCTACTTGATGCAGGTATCATTTACCCTATTGCAAACTCAAAATGGGTTAGTCCAACCCAAGTTGTCCCAAAAAAATCTGGAGTCACGGTAGTGAAGAATGAAAATAATGAGCTGGTACCAACTAGAATCCAAACTGGATGGCGTATGTGCATTGATTATCGTAAATTGAACATGGTGACTAGGAAGGACCATTTTCCGCTTCCATTTTTAGACCAAGTGCTTGAAAGAGTAGCTGGAAGAGCTTTCTATTGTTTTCTAGATGGATACTCAGGTTACAACCAAATTGAGATTTCTTTAGAAGACCAAGAAAAAACCACTTTCACTTGTCCTTTTGGTACCTATGCTTATAGAAGAATGCCTTTTGGTTTGTGTAATGCACCAGCCACTTTTCAAAGGTGTATGATGAGTATCTTTAGTGACATGGTGGAAAATTTTTTGGAAGTTTTCATGGATGATTTTTCAGTTTATGGGGATTCTTATGAGTTGTGTCTAATGAATCTAGAAAAAGTTCTTGAAAGGTGTGAAGAGAGCAATCTTGTACTCAATTGGGAGAAGTGTCATTTTATGGTGACACATGGCATTGTTTTAGGTCACATTGTCTCTTCAAAAGGGATAGAGGTAGATAAGTCAAAAGTGAAAGTCATTCAAAAATTAACTACCCCTAAGACTGTGAGGGTATTGTGTTGTATGGGACTGACATGCAGTAGATTGGATTCTCTAGATATAATTTTTCATTGAATTATCTGTCTTCTAGTAGTCTTCTCAGTAGATTGAATTGCCATTTCAACAAGTTATTTTTCCAGTTTCTGAGAACTCATGTTCCACATGGACCCAAAAGCTCTTTCCATAACACGAGGTGTTGTGTTGAACATCAGGTGAAGTTTTAGTCAGGATTGTAAATTGTTATGGTGTTCAGCTAAGAAGCAGAACTGCAACATAAAACACAGAGCAAGTTTTTCTTGATTTAGTGCATTTCCTTACTCTAATAAGCATTGTGCATGAAATTGACACGCTAGATTTTTAGGCAAGATTATTTGTAGGTGAATCACTTATAATTGCATTTTTGTTTGAAACAGAACCTTTGTTTGCTAATTCTTCCGCCTTTTCTGCACTAGTTTTTGTTGATGAATTCATTGCATTATGTTAGAGTTTCTATCTCGTAAAATCACTCCTAAATCCATAGATTTCTACATTGAATAGATGGTTTAACGTGGAGGAAAGTCAGGTTCTCGTATCTCAATTCAAGTGATGATCTTTACTTTTGTTGGTTGTGCTCAGAGCAGTCATGCTGATCTGTTCTTCTTTTCACAACATGCATATATTTGTGCTGATTT